CGCACTGTATGTGCGGTCAGGTCTATGGCAGGGGTTTGAGGTGAAGGTAGAGCGCTGTCATCCCTGTCCGCGACTTTAATGTCATTCTCGGCGTTAAACTCTTTGATAATATTTTCGGGCATTTTTTGTGGCAATTTTGGTGGCAATGGAGGTGTCGGTGATTGGGGTTCCGGTGCCGGCAGTGAATCGCTGTTACTCTCACTGTTAGTGCACACACTTTGGGATGTGTTGTCACCGGCAGTCGAGCCCTCCGTCTCCTCCCTGTCCTCGTAATCATTGATACTGTCCTCACATTTATTAATGTTGTTTTCACTTAAGTTGAGCTCATTTTTCTCATATTGTAATTTATGGCTGTATTTGTGGCCAACATTTGAGTCCCGATTAATGCCTAAACCTATGGACTCGTTGTTCACTGTCTTCGGCCGCACCCGTAGTCGCGACAGGTTTTCAATCACATGATTATCACTCGATATAATACAGTATTCATTAAAGTCTATATCAAATATCTATTAAAAAATTAATAAAATATTTTAAGTTTTTAAAGTTACTATAAGTACTGTATTTATTGTAATAAATTATTACTAATAATCTAGAAGTCACTACTGTATAATTATAATTTATAAAATAACTTAACTATGTGTAAAATATAATTGTAAAATTTGTAGTACATTATACAGGAGTACACTATAAATGTGTATTTGTACGTATGGAGTTTCTGTACACATAACCTACACTACAACACAAACTAAACAAACGCCTAGAGTAACATCTGGACTAACTTCCCGTTGTGTTGGCGTGATAGGCATGCTAGCTATGCTTACGATATCTTTTCACATCCATTCAAATCGACCAATACTTTCATTATTACAACATTAAATCTAAACTTTTGTTCACAACAAACAGCACTTCATTATAACCGTTACAAACACGAGAAAAATTGACAAAAAATATTTAAATTTGATTAAAAAAACAACAACAAAAACAGTGGTTATTAATTACTAAACATTGTTTGACAACAGGTTTTAAAGTCCATATGACTTTTGCAAACTTATCTTACAGTTATATCAATAGTCATGCGTGCGTTAAACCGGTTTATGTATAACTTTCATCGCGCACCTTTTCAAAAATTATATTTGCACAAGTTTTATATTTACTTGTTACAAGTTATTTGTTTTTGTGCGTAAAACCAGAATATTGCTAAACATGCAACTTATAATTTGTAAATTAATGAATTAAAATCATATAATATATACTGTACACATTGTAGCTAGGTTGTTATATTAAATATAGCATTTTAGCGTTTATTAATTTTTAATTAATTGTCTTTAGTGAAGTTTTTATAATTTTATAAATTTACCCTGAGCTAATATTAATGTAGCGATTATTATTTATTTGATTATGTACAAAATAAAAAGCGTATAATAATTTAATAACATTGTTTAATTTATTTTATTTAATAATAAATATTTATTTAAAACTTCTTGATAATTATCATATAAATAATTATAATTAAAATATTGAGTTGTTTTATAAAAAATAATCTATATTAAAACTACAGTAATTAAGTTTTAACAATAGCAATTTATAAATGTATAATATAAAAATAAACATCATAAATAATTTACATATTTTAAGTAAATACTAAATATATTAATTAATGAACGCATCGCGTAATATTTTAATCTTTTCATATGATTCCTGTGATAATGATTGACTCAAATCCATGTCATGTATAACCGAGAAATACGGGTAATCATCGACGGCTTTGGTATAGTTTACACAATATTTCAACGCCTATTAAAAGCAATAATTAAATTAATAAATAAAACTCTCTCTCTCTCTCTCTCTCTCTCTCGCATACAGAAAATACATACAAGTATATAGTAATTGCAAACGTGTTCAGTGAAATTGGTCCGACACCTGTGCCCGTCGGGCATCGGGTAACCGAACTCATCCATCAATCGGCTGACACCCGACCAAAAGTGCTCGCAATCGTTGTTGGCATCCAAACCCAATGTAGTAATTGTCGCAGTAATCGCGCGGCACAGTTGGGTGAATACGCGCAAATCGCGCTGGGTGATATTGGCCGACACCCGGTACAGGGCGGGCAGCTCCCGTTCCCTCAACTCGCGCATCTTATTAACCTCTGGCCGGTGCCAATTCATTACGTAATTTTCGTTAGATTTGGCCACTGATTGGTCGCAATCGGCCGGCCCTTCCCAGCGGTATATATCAGGCCCGGTCTCAACCCCGGTCTGGTCACTTGGGGTCAACTCATTTAGCACAGGAACGTTTAATTTTTTAGCCCGTTTTTTAGTCACTTTTTTGGTCACTATTTTAGTATTACTGGCAGCCCTTGCATCTGCGTGTGAAGTGACCAAGGTCTGTTCGCAACGGTCACTGATTTGGTCTGTGGTGGAGGACCGCCCTGGCTCGTTGGCCCGTCCCCGGAACCGCCTGATCTATATTAATAAACACCGGGTTCGGGTTCAGTGGTCTAGGCTTTGGTGCAATTAACTTCCTATCCCTGTCCACCGCATCGCGTAATGATTTGATCTTTTTATACGATTTCTTTGATAATGATTGACTCAAATCCATGGCATGTATAACCGAGAAATACGGGTACACTTTAACCGCTTCCGTATATTTCGGAAAATACTTTAACGCCTATTAAATTAATAACAATATTAATTTCAGAGAGAGAGAGAGAGAGAGAGAGAGAGAGAGTTTTATTGACCAATTTCACTGAACACGTTTGCAATTACTATATACTTGTATGTATTTTCTGTATGCGAGAGAGAGAGAGAGAGAGAGAGAGAGAGAGAGAGATTGTACTTACAATTCCATAATAACAGCACACGTGGTCAATAAACATCAACCGCCAGGTTATACCACTTGGCCCGTCAGTTAAGTAACCGGACTCAGTCATCGATCGGTTAACGTGTGGCCAAAACTGATCGCAATTATCGATATAAGGACCCAAAGTGTTGACGGTTTCCCGTACTGATTGACACAGTTGGGTAAACGTGCGCAAACCTAACTCGGTGATTTGGCCGGACATATGGTAGAGTGACTGAAGCTCCGGATCCGTGAACTCTTTGGTGGCCGACATTGGTTGGATTGTGTGCTGAGTGCTATTCGGACGAATCTGACCACTAATCTCTGCGCTATTGGCTGTTGTCGTTGAACAGGGAGTGTTTAGGCGCTCTTTGTTGCCGATTAGGTCGATGGTTGAGGTTTGAGCGCATGATATGACGCTATCATCCCTGTCCTCTGAATTGATATAACACTCGGCGGTAACTTCTTTGACAATATTTTGGGATATTTTTTGTGGCAAATTTGGTGGCGATGAACGGGTCGGTGATTGGGGTTCCGGTGGCGGCATTAAATCGAAATTACTTTCACCAAAAGTGCCCACACTTTGGGAACAACTATCATCACAGATCGCACCCTTCGTGCCAACACGTGAGTCAGGGGGCGGTCTTAGGATCGGGTTATTCAACAGTTTGGCCGCATTTTTGGCCGCTTTTTTAGTTGCCTTTTTGGCCGACTTTCGGGCCATTTTGTTGGCCGATGTTTTAGCCGTCCTTTTTGAGACCCCTGACGTCACCTTGGTGCTTTCCCAATAGTAATAGCCGGGCCGATTGTTGTCGGGTCCGGGGGCCTGGTAAGACGGTACCTGAGCACCCTGTTCAATAATAATCGATTCATTGGGCACGGGTTTTGTGGCCAACAATTCTCTGTCCACCGCATCGCGTAATGCTGTGATCTTTCCGTATTGTCTCTTTGATATGGATTGACTCAAATCCATGTCATGTATAACCGAAAAATACGGGCACACTTTAACCGCTTCCGTATTGTTTGGCAAATATTGTAACGCCTATTAAATTAATAAAAATATTTAGTTGAGAGAGAGAGAGAGAGAGAGAGAGAGAGAGAGAGATACAGGTGTCGGACCAATTTCACTGAACACGTTTGCAATTACTATATACTTGTATGTATTTTCTGTATGAGAGAGAGAGAGAGAGAGAGCAATAAAAAGTGCTTTAATGGTACATACAATTTTATAATGAGTGCACACGTGGGCAGTGAATATTTTACGATATGTATTTAGTTTAGGCAAAGGGTAACCGCACTCAACCATCAATCGGTTAACGTGTGGCCAAAACTGCTTGCGATTGTCGACAAACGAGCCCAACGTGTCGACCGTTTCGCCCACACAACGGCACAGTTGGGTAAATGTGGTCACATCTGCGTCGGTAATCCCGGCGCACACCTGGTATAGAGCAAATAGCTTCGGGTGCGTTAACTTATTGGAAACCGCATTTTGCAACTCATTAGTAACACCGTCGGCGGTGCCGGCTGTTAACACTTGTGCCGTTTGTTTGACACAACGGCCGGTGTTTGTCTTAATGTCCGTGACTTTGATCTCATTGTCAGCGTAAAACTTTTTCACCAGATTTTGAATTACTTTTTGTGACAATTTTGGCGCCGATGGAAGTGTCAGTAATTGGGATTCCGGTGCCGGCAGTAAATCGCTATTACTCTCACTATTAGTGCACACACTTTGGGAAGTGTTGTCACCGGCTGTCGAGCCCTCCCTATACTCATTATCGGTGATACTGTCCACACACTCACAGGTACTATATATGACTGATTGTTGATTACGGGCCGACCAGCTGTCTATACCATTGCCGGCTACTGGAGTTGCGCTGACTATTGGATCAGTTTTAGTGAGATATTTTTCACATTTGTTGTCAAACAATCGCTTCAATTCGTTGAGTTTTGATAAGTCTTTGGCAGTCATGAGAAAATAGGGTACAAATGAGTGCATTGTCCTAAACAATGGATAAACGGTGGACGCCGTCTCCCGGTTCGGACAGTTGGCCAAAGTCTGATCATTCAAATATAAATAAAATAAAAATAAAATAACGTTAACAATAATCCCTAAAAATACCTTTTTATATAATTTCAATGCATTATAAAAGTAATTCAAACACTTTGTGTAATTCCAGTCATTGAAACCATTTCTGGACATTTGGTTAACCCAAATGTCCGCATCGTTTTGACCGGTACTTGACTTCAATATATGCATTAACCGTATGACCGCCCGGTTATCTGCCAACAGAAACGACATACCCGTCAACCATACTGTGCCCACACATGCTGTATATGTGATGTATGCCATGTGTGGGGAACTGGAGGTCGTGGCAAAATCGTATGGATTTAGTTCAATGTTCAGATAGTTGATGGGCGCCGAGGGGTGAGAGCCCGGCGCTAATGGCGAGGGTATAGGTGTAGACACTGGCAATAGTATAGGTATGGGATGATTACTTTGAGACAGTGATTGTTTGACAGAACACTTTAACCCCTCATTGGCCACACCATCACTAACACCAGTGCCGGTACGGGTGGACAACCCTAGTGTTTGTTTCACATAATGGCCGGCGTTTGTGACAATGTTAGTGAATGAAAACCGGCTTTTATGGGAGTCCTGTGCTATGGAATGGCTAGAGATGACTACGGATGCGATGGACTGACTGGCGATGTTGTCCTCCGTCACAACTTTGATGCCATTCTCGGCGTTAAACTCTTTGATAACATTTTCGGACATTTTTTGTGGTAATTTTGGCGGCGATGGAGGTGTAAGTGATTGGGGTTCCGGTGCCGGCAGTGAATCCCTATTACTATCACTAGTAGTGCACACACTTTGAGCACTACTGTCGCCGGCAGTCGAGTCCTCTCTGTCCTCACTTTTATTGATATTGTTTTCACTTAATTTGAGTTCTTTTCTCTCGTACTGTATTTTATGGCTGTATTTGTGGCCAACATTTGAGTCCCGATTAATGCCTAAACCTATGGACTCGTTGTTCACTGTCTTCGGCCGCACCCGTAGTCGCGAGAGATCTTCAATCAAGTATTCATCACTCGGTATAACACAATATACGTTGAAATCCGTGTCAAATATCTGTTAAAAATTAAAATAAATTTCTATAGTTTTAAGTTATAAAGTGTTAGTTTTGAACACAACACTGATATTGACAATACATGCATACCTCAAAGACATGTGTATTGGATGTGATGTTGTGTTTGATTTGTTTGCGGATCTCATTGTAGACCTGATTGAAGGGCAACACAACCGCACTATCCGTACGATCGATACGAATGCTATAGTTTTCACATCCATTCAAATCGACCAATACTTTCATTATTACAACATTTAGTGTCACTTTTGTTCACAATAAACACCAATTCATTATAACCATTACATAACACCAACAAAAACACGAGACAGTACTGTATACTTACATTACATAATGTTTTCACAACAATTATTAACAGTTTTTTAAGTCACAAATTTTTAAACTTTAATCATGTGTGCCGTTAATGGCTATTAAACATGCGCGCAAAACACTTTTACCATGATGCAACTTTACAGTTCACTTAAGTTTGATCTATGTTTATTGATCTAGAATCTAGATTAATTGCTAATTCTGTTTAAACATGTAATGAATAATTATAAACAAGTCATAACATAACATAAACAAACATAGTTAATAAAAAGTTTAATTATATACAGTAACTAAAAATATGATTTATTATGTTTGGTTTAATACAATAATAACTTGTTTAATAATTTGTTTTGAATATACAGTTCTGTAATTAATACAAAAAATTAATAACTTTAGTTATAAAAAAGATTATATAAATTTTTAATTTATAATTAAAACCATTAACACTTTGAACAATAACATAATTAAGTGGACATTAATAATCATTATTTAGTGAACGCATCGCGTAATGCTTTGATTTTTAAAAATGATTTCTCTGATAATGATTGACTCAAATCCATGGCATGTATTACTGAGAAATACGGGTAAACATCGATCGCTTCGGTAGAGTTTGGCATACATTTCAACGCCTATTAAAACATAATGAATAAATAAATTAATACTTAATTCTCTCTCTCTCTCTCTCTCTCTCTCTCTCTCCACAAAATACATACAATTGCATAAACACAGCACACGTGGTCAGTGAACATCTGCCGATATTTCACTTTCTTAGACCCGGGGTAACCGGACTGAGCCACCAATTGGATAACGTGTGGCCAAAATTGGGCGCTGTTCTCGACAAACGGGCCTAAAGTGGTGGCCGTTTCGCCCACACAGCGGCACAGTTGGGTAAACGTACGCAAACTGATCTCGGTTATTTGAGCGCATTTCTTGCGCAGTGAATGCAGCTCCCAATTGACCAACTCTTTGTTGGCCGCGATTGGTTGGACACTGTGTTGAGTGTTGTTTACATTAGTTTGACCGCTAGTCCGGGCGACTATCCCTATAATGTCCGGAGCGGTGCTATTGGTTGGACAGTGATTGTCGGCACCGGTAGTTGTGGTGTTGGTTGTGTTGAGACGATCGCCGCATTTCTCGGCAAACAATCGCTTCAATTCGTTGAGTTTCACCAACTCTTTGGCATTCAAGAGAACTGAGGGCACAAATGAGTGCATTGTGTTGAACAGGGGGTAAACGGTGGCCGCCGTCTCCCGGTTTGGACAGTTGGCCAAAGTCTGTGCGCAAATAAAACAAAATAAATGTCACACAAAATCAAATAGTATTTAATTTCGTTATTAAATGCAACAAAAACTAAATCACCTTTTTATACAAATCTATTGCGTTGTGAAAGTAATTCAAACACTTGTCGTAATGCCAGCCATCGAAACCACTTTTGGCCATCAGTTTGTCCACAACTTCGGCACCGATAGCGCCGGCATTAGCCTTCAATATCTTGATTAACCGCACGATCGCCCAGTAGTCGGCGACCGGCACTAGCATTACGGTCACCCATACTCTACGCACAGACGCTGTTTTGGTACTGTATGACAGGTGTGGGGAACTGGCAGTTGTGGCAAAACCTGTCGGATTTAGTTCAACGCCCAGATAGTTGATGGGCGCCAATCGGTGAGTGCCCGGCGCTAATGGCTGGGATGTGTCCGCATTTGTAGCCTCTATTTTAGCCACATTTTTAGCTGCTTTTTTAACCGCCTTTTTAGCCTCCCTTTCGGTCACAGTATTGATCCATTTGGTGATCTGTTTGGAAGCCCTAAATGTTCCCAAAATGTTTTCACCGTGGTTATTGTAGGCCATATTGTTGCCAGGTGGCTGGCCCTCGTTAGACGTTCCCGGTGCAATATTGATCGCCTCATTGCCAACCGATTCCATGAAAAGGGGCGCCGGCTTTGGGCCAAACTCTGTGTCCATCGCATCGCGTAATGCTTGGATTTTATCGTATGCTTTGTGTGATAACGATTGACTCAAATCCATGTCATGTATAACCGAGAAATACGGGTACACTTTAACCGCTGCCGTATAGTTTGGCAAATACTTCAACGCCTATTAAATTAATAAAAAAATTTAAAATCAGATAAGAGAGAGAGAGAGAGAGAGAGAGAGAGAGAGAGNGCGCCCAATTTTGGCCACACGTTATCCAATTGGTGGCTCAGTCCGGTTACCCCGGGTCTAAGAAAGTGAAATATCGGCAGATGTTCACTGACCACGTGTGCTGTGTTTATGCAATTGTATGTATTTTGTGGAGAGAGAGAGAGAGAGAGAGAGAGTAATAAAATGTACAAATGTGATACATACAATTTTATAGTAAGAACACACATGTTCAGTAAACATAATATTATACACCGCTTTCCTGGGATAACCGGATTTAGACATCAATCGGTTAACGTGTGACCAAAACCGACCGGAATTGTCGACATACGGACCTAACGTTTGGGCCGTTTCCCGTACACAACGGCACAGTTGAGTGAATGTGCGCACATCTATGTCGGTAATCTGGTAGCAAATATGGTAGAGTAACAGTAGCTCCGGGTTCTTTGACTTTTTGGTGGCCCCGATTTGTTGGACATTGTGTTGAGTGCTTTTCGGACGGGTGTGGCCGCTAGTCTCGGCGCTAATCACTGTTGTCGTTGGACAGGGAGTGTCGGCAATGGTTGTACCGGACTCTGTGTTTAAGCGCTCTCTATCGCCGATCACGCCTATGGACGAGGTTTGGGCGCGCGATAGGGCGCTGTCATCCCTGTCGGCCACTACTTTGAGACAACACTTGGCGGCACTCTCTTTGATCAAATTTAAGTGTATTTTTTGTGGCACTTTTGGAGGCGATGGATGGGTCGGTGATTGGGGTTCCGGTGTCGGCACTGAAGCGCTATTATTATCACTATTAGTGCACACACTTTGGGAGCAACTATTACCAGCGCCAACACGTGAGTCCGGGAGCGGTCTTATGATCGGGTTATTCAACATTTTGGCCGCTTTTTTAGCTGCCTTTTTGGTGGCTTTTTGGGCCATTTTGTTGGCCAGAGTTTTGGCCGTTCTTTTTGAGAGCCCTGAGCCCACCTTGGTGCTTTCCCAATAGTAATAGCCTGGTCGGTTATTGTCGGGTCCGGGGGCCTGGCTAGATGGCCCCTGAGAACCCTGTTCAATAATAAACGACTCGTTGGGCACGGGTTGAGTGGTCAACAATGGCCGCGGTTTTGTGACCAACAACTCGCTGTGCGCCGCATCGCGTAATGCTGCGATCTTTCTATCTTGGTTCTTTGATATGGATTGACTCAAATCCATGTCATGTATAACCGAGAAATACGGGTACACTTTAACCGCATCCGTATTGTTTGGCAAATATTGCAACGCCTATTGAATTAATAAAAATTTTAATTGAGAGAGTGAGTGAGAGATTAACTATCACTTAACCTAATGTTTAATTCAATAGGCGTTGAAATACTTGCCAAACAATACGGACGCGATTTACCCGTATTTCTCAGTAATACATGCCATGGATTTGAG